ACCCGGGAAGCGCGCAATGATGGTGCCAACTTGGGCCAGTGAAGCGACGTCCTCCACAACTAGACTGAAGAACAAAAGGACAGCCACTTCTCTGTTCCCCTTCCCTGATTCCCCAGCACTGTTCCCATCCCCCCAATTCCCCAATAAAAATCTTAAAAAAAAAAAAAGAATTTACTATACCTTCTCTATGAAATACTCTGTAATACAAATGGTGACAGAAATAAAAGACATTTCACAGACTTCCAAGGAGCTTTATTATTACGTTTTCTTACTGACTCATTAGTAGTTACATTATGGGTAAATTAAGTCCTATGACAGATAAACAAAAAGGAATGACACCTGAAAAGTCCAAGCTAATCTGGTATAACTTTAGAGTCAGAATACTTAAGAATTAATTAGAAAAGGTAGGGAGGGAGAGCAGAGTGAAACCAGAAAACAAGATACTGCAGAAATTCAAGTGAGAACTAAACCCTAAACAAAGGATAAAATAAGATACTTGTAGAACCTTCAGAAAAAAAAACAACTTCTAATATTATTATTAATGACGAAATCTACCACAACAGCTGATTACAGAGTAGAAAAAATTAAGTTGTTAAAAATGTACCCACACAGCCAAGTTCACAGACATGCAAAAATCTAGAACCATACAAATTTAGGGACTGTTTTTCCTACATATTTTCTTATCTGTATTTACTTGTATTTTGAACTACCACCTTCCCCAAAACTGATATCGCATCCTAAAAACAACAAAAAGACCGAACTTATTTTAAATATACATATTAATTTTTTTAAAGCCCTAAAAGTAGGGGTCAATGGCACATAAACATTCTTCAAAGTAATTCCCCATTTAGCTGATCTAGACTATTCTGAAATGTTTGCCCTACAAGAAAATCCTTCCCCAAGTAGCAGATACATGAGACCTAGACTTATTATTTGGTTTCATATGAATAAATTTAGCTTACACAAAATTAGATAATTAAATAATTCATAGAAAGCATATTTCCCCCCCAAAAAAAATCCTTTCACTTGACAGTTTAAACAAACTTATACTCCTAAATGTTTTTGCCTTTTTACCATACTAGGAGATACTTCCTAAAGACATATACATAAATCACACCATTGCAAAAAAGACCTATAAAGATAAACTGAGAAAAATAATAACCTTTAGATTTAAAGTCAGCTAAGATAATAAACTGCAGCAAAAAATGCCGGCCTCTAGCTAAAACATGAAGTATCCACAAACAACTCAAGAAGAATAAACACCTATGTAACTAGCCAACATGGAACAGAAAAGCAGATATATATGTAAGAAAAACTCCAGCTAACTATTGATTTATCACTACAGCATTTTTTTTTTTAATAATTAAAAAGGAAGAGGCAGGGCCGGCTGAGTGGCTCAGTTGGTTAAGAGCTCGCTCAACAGTTTGAGCTCTGAGCAACAGCGGTTCGAGTCCCGGCCCGAGCTGAACAGCCGCTGAGCTGCCAACAGGCAGCAGGATGGCTCAGCTAAAAAAAAATAAACAAAAAAAAGGAAGAGGCAGAGAACCCTGGAAAGACTGTCATAAAGAAATTTAACACTAAAATTGATGAGTCCATATTAATATAAATGAATGACTGAATAACAAATGGAGGAGAAAAGGCAAATCTCTGGTGCAGAAGGTCCCAATATTTTATGCAGACACTCCAACTTCAAGAAGGTGAAGCATAACTCCCTATTCATTAAGTGTGGACAACACGGTGACTTCCTTCCAAAGAGTATAACATGGAAAAGTCTGTGACAAATGATGTTGACTATAAGTAGTCTTGATATAATGAGAAGAGAATGCTTCTTTTTTCTGTGGTCTTCCTCCCACAAACATATAATCCCAGTCCAACCATGAAACATCAGACAAATTCCAACTGAGGGACATTTACAAAATACCTGACCAGTACTCAAAATTGTCAAGGTCATTAAAAACAAAGTCTGGGGCCGGCCAAGTGGCTCAGCTGGTTAAGAGCTCGCTCAAAAGTGCGAGCTCTGAGCAACAGTGGTTCACCTGGCCCGAGCTGAGCTGCCAACAGGCGACAGGATGGCTAAGCTAAAAAAAAAAAACAAACAAAGAAAGTCTGAGAAACTGTCTCAGACAAGAGAATCCTAAGGAGACATGGCTACTAAATGTTATGTGATTTCCTAAATGGGATCATGGCACAGAAAAAGGCAACTAAGAAAATCTGAATGAAGTTGAAGCTTTAGTTCATAATATATCAATACTGGTTCACTAACTACTACAAATACACTACACTATTAGATGTTAATAATAGGAGAAACTGTGTGTAGAATAAATAAGAACTCTGTACTATTTTCCCAATTTTTTCTGCAAATCTGAAACTTTCCTAAAACAAAAAGTTTACTTAAAAACTGACA